AATGTACAATCACATGAAATCACAGACTGCAGTGTACAGTGTACAATCACATTATGAAATCACAGACTGCAGTGTACAATGTACAATCACATTATGAAATCATAGACTGCAGTGTACAATGCACACAAGTTGCCACAGCGTTCAATTTGTTAAAAAGCAACATGTAAAGTCAGTATCTGAAGCACCATAAAATGAGATGTGCCTTAGTAATTACATATTTCTAACATGCCTTCCTAAGGATTTCTCATGTTGCTGTGCAGGCTTCCAAGAGCCGGGAGGTGGGTGGTAGGTGACTGTCGATTCAGCATTTCGACTGCTCTCCTCACAGCCCCTGGGATGCATCAGTGTTCAGTAATCAGCTTACTGGCTAAATGAGTGAGAAAACAGCGTAACTTGGAACCATTGTGCTGCTCGGCGTGTGAGCACTTACTGCTTCAAATCCTCAAGCTCACCGCATGTATCGTTCCTGTTTTTCTTTAGGAGCAAAAACCCTGGAGAGTGTGGTGCTCAGTAAAATGAATTTCGAGTCTTTTGTAAAAAGTCTTCTTCTCGTCCGTCAGTATCGAGTTGAAGTGTATAAGAACAGAGCTGGAAACAAGGCCAGCAAGGAGAATGATTGGTGTTTGGCTTTCAAGGTAATGTCTTGCTTTTTGTTTACTTATTTTACTTCGAGAAAGAATGAAAAGTGTGAGCGAGTTCTATGATTGTGTATATTTAAAAATGTTAGCCGGATTGTGGCAGGTAACTGCTTTCAGAGATTGGAATATTCTTTAGCCTGTGACTTAAAAAAAAAGTTGTTTAATAGCAATTCAGAAAGTCAGTAGTTCATCATTTTAAGATGAATTTGAATGCTCTGTGCTTGATCACTGTTCCAGCAGCCGAGCTGCGAATAATAAGTAGCCTCAACATAATGCTGAATGCCAGCATTAGGGAAGAATTTGATGTTACGGTTTTCCAAGTAGTGCTGTCACCGACGGGATCCCACAAACTGGTTCACTGAGGGACTGGATGGGAATGTAATGCAGCTAAATCCTCTGCTCGTGATGAGGGGTCTGGACAGCTGACTGATGGAGGAAGACCCTCATGGTTATGAGATGTAAATAATCTTCATACACATCCTCATGACCGACCACAGTCTCTAAAATAGCACCCCCCCAAAGGAACTGTCAGAAAGGAGCTACCATGCAAGATGAATCGTTCCTGCAGTAGTATGCACATTTGTAATATGTAGATAACTTTGGGTAGGTCTGCCTTTCTCTTTAGATTATAATTTTTGTAAGTCATGGGACATTGTTAAGTGGGCATTAACTTCTTAGGTCATGCCAGAATTCTTCAATATGAAATCTTGTATTTCCTGTCTTTTAGGTCAGGGGGTGGAAATCTTAAAATATGTATCTTTATATAATAATAATTTATAAATTATCAAGGGTGAATGGGGGACGGGGGGCAGACGAAGGGAGGGGGAGGGGGAAAAAAGGAAAATGAGCTGATTCTGGGAACCTAAGAGGCAAGCGAATTTTGGGAATAATGAGGGCAACAAATGTATATATGTTCTCTACACACTTGATCTATGTATTGTGATGAATTGTATGAGCCCCAATAAATTGATTTTTTTTAAAAAGTATCTTTATTGGGCTAAAATTAAATCTCCCTGATATTTTTAAAGAAATTTAGTATAAAACTATTCTTGATTTGTCCTTCTTAATTAGCTTACTAGATCTATTGTAAAAGATTAATGGGAATAAAAAAAGATTAATGGTATTTGAAATAGCGGATCTCCTTGATTTCTTTCACATGTTCTTAATAGTAGATTTAGGTTAGTATAGGACCTGAGATAGTTCAGGTTTATTGTGCTAACCTGGTCGATAAACACCTGTGGGATAGTTGAAGGGTGGAGAGTTAATGGCTCGGTGAGCCTCGCCTTTCTAGTCTCGGGTCTCTTGCTCTCTGATGGTCGGATCAGGGTGCAGCTGCCTTAGCCAGTTCCCTGCTTCAGCTGGCAAGGCTCATTTCCTGCAAGACATCCCTGAGGAGAAGCCACATGGACCTACCCTGATGCAGCCCTGGGTGCTGGAGCAGCCATGTGGAGACCCCTGCCAGCGCTGAGATGCTTACACATCCACTGATTCTCTGTCCTCCTGCAGTCGGTGTTATTGTGTGTGTTTTGTGAGATTGAGGAGGACTTTGTAAATCGGTGTCAGATATATGGGTTAATGTTGAATTTAGGGGCTTGGACTGGACTGGGTTGGGATGCTTTCTTAATGTACACTTACTCTTTATATAAAACTCTCTTTACATACATATGATTTTCTGTGGATTTGTTTCTCCGATGTACCTAGACTAACACAGGACCTTAGACCCCACCTTCTTCAGATTACATATAATGTTAAAGGACTTTTACCTTTCCCTATGGGGAGCAAGGGAACTAGGGAGTTGAACATGGGGCAAACAGAAGAGCATGAAAGAGGATGTTTCCACAGTGACAAATGTAATCAATGTCACGCCACAAACTTGCTCCCTTGTGTTTTCATCTTTGCGGTTGAGTCATTGTGGACCTTCTGTCTCATTGGTGGTGGTTTTTAAGTAGAGCACCGACTGTATTGGTCAGATCCTTTATTTTGTGTGCTATTTTGCTGTTTGCTAAAGGGTGACCTTAAAGGGGAATTTAATGTGTCTCAGGATGACAGAGCCAAGGATTCCTCTGTTCTCTTCTATTCCAGTTTGTCTGACTTAAAACAAAAAAAGTTGAGTTCTGCTTCACATTTTTCTTCCCTCTCTCTGGGACTATCTACTTTAACCTCGGTCAGAACAGTTAGTGGTAGGTAGCTGGACACCATTTATTTCTTCTGGTCTCAGGGTAGACAGGACTGTTGTGTGGGTTAACTTGTTTCTTCTCTGACCTTTTGTTTAGTTCCTGGCAATTTGACACCCATAGCTGTATCTTAGAGGGCCGTTGGCAAGCCAAAACCTCAGATGCTGCTCCACTAAGATGCAGGTCCTGGTTTTTGGGAACTGTCTTCATGCCAGTTGACTGAATTGGCCTAAGGCTGAAATCAGTATGGACATCATTAGTTTTTTTTTTTTTGGTAGGATAGCTATTTTAAAAAAATCATTTTATTGGGCTCTTACAGTTCTTAACACAATTCTTACATACATCTATTGTGTCAAGTACATTTGTACATATGTTGCCATTATCGTTTTCTTTTTTAATTTTTAATCATTTTATTAGGAGTTCATACAACTCTTATCACATCATTAGTTTTATATGTGTCCTGGTAATCTGATGATAGTCGGAAAGACAGGGATACTTTATAGAAAATGTGATAAGTTTTGCAATATATGCTTGCAAGTCATTTCTTTTTGTTATGAAACATTTTATTAATGTCATTCATTAGAGTTGGAATTCTTTGCTGGTATAATTTAAAATAAGTTCAACAGTGTCTCACAATGTCCCCCCGTTATTTTTGCACAGGCTTCTCCAGGCAACCTTTCTCAGTTTGAAGACATTCTGTTTGGTAGCAATGATCTGTCAGCTTCCATTGGCGTGGTGGGTGTTAAAATGTCCACCGTTGATGGCCAGCGGCAGGTTGGCGTCGGGTATGTGGACTCCATTCAGAGGAAGCTGGGGCTGTGCGAGTTCCCCGACAACGACCAGTTCTCCAATCTTGAAGCTCTCTTGGTTCAGCTCGGACCCAAGGAATGCGTTTTACCAGCAGGAGAGACGGCCGGAGACATGGGGAAGCTGAGGCAGGTAAGGAAAGCTGAGTCTAGGGCTGGGACCTGAATCTGAGTTGAGGGAGGGCTTTTTCATGGGCTTAAGGCTGTTTTATTTGAGGAAAACTATGTAATGAAAGTCTCAAGTCTTGGTATCTAACTACAATATCTTTTCTTTTTGAAGAGTGCCCTGATGTTTATCTTGTACAGAAAACATTGTATCTTTCATATAGAGGACATCAGAACAAGAGGCTTCTTTGTAAAGCCTTTCTCTGCGTCAGACCAATTCCCTGTCCCTCTTTCCCTTCCTCTTTCCATCTGCCCTCCTTCCCTTCCTTTTGAAAGTAACAGACTGCCAACCTTCAAGTATTCAGAATTGATTTAAAAAAGGTGATTTGAAAGAAAACGATAATGAATACAATTCTGTATTTAGCATGGATTTATCAAACAAGCAAAAAGGAATCCTTTGGGTTACATTTGCGTCGTTCCCGGATAATCCTAGGGATTTGAGAGATTCTTCCTCCTCTTTCTCAGTTCAGGGAGCTTCCGATTGCCATTTGTATGAGTGTGTGGCTTATTGGGATGCTTCTTCCTTCAAGGACGGCATGTTCTAAGGATTCTTTTCCTTTTTCGGACTTCAGATACCCCCAGGACTATTTGGAAAGTACTTGCCAAATCTAAGGTGGGCATTTAGTCTGTAGATTTAAAAAATGTGTGTTAATGCTTATGAAGGAGCTCCAAAACGTTCCTGGAAGATTCTGTTACCTTTTAATTCCAGCATCCCACGGGTCTTGGGAGCCCCCCCCGCCCGTGTGGCCATCTTCCTGCAGCGCCATAGCAGTGCCGCGTGGGCTGATGGCCGATGAGCCCGGGCCGTGTTGTGCTCATCACTGTTGCAGGCTTCTTTTCTCACGGCAAGGTCTGAATATAAGTCATTTAAAGTGTTTCTTGTACCGTAGGTCATTCAGCGAGGAGGAATTATGATCACGGATCGAAAAAGAACGGAATTTTCCACAAAAGATATTTGTCAGGATCTCAACCGGTTACTGAAAGCCAAAAAGGGAGAACAGATGAATAGTGCTGTCTTGCCAGAAATGGAGAATCAGGTCAGTGGATTGCGAATGTGAGTCTTTCAAATTATAGTCGTGGCATTTTATAAAGGTGGTACCTCCACATTATCTCAAAACCTAAACTGGGGAGCAGCGATATTTTGTCGATTTGGTTTCTGATTAAAGTGGTAACAATGACTATAAAAACTTGAATTTAGCCTTAAGTGTAATGTCTTTATATCGTACTACATATGTCCTCGGGGTATAGAAGGCTTGAGGGCTGCATTTGAACAGGTCTGATCACTGTGTCTGCATGGTGAATGGAAGAAAGACTGACTATCTCATTATTTCCCAACTGTGGATGCAGCCTTTGACAAATGACTTCACCAATGTGGGAGGCAATCTCCCAGTGTTAAATAGGATAAAAAATACCTGTCTCAGAGGATAGTGATGGAGATTAGGAGATAATAAGTGTGACTCCATCTACAGCACATAATATTCGTGTAGCAAATACCGCATCTAAGCAGTTTGACTTAAGATCTGGTGTGGGTTATGTGTGATTAGTCGTTAAAATGAATATGTATACAACTTCCATGGGTTTTCATTGGTTGAAGTGGATCTCAATGGTCAAATGCTGGATGCCAGGGGACTAGAGGTGCATTTTGATGGTAAAATTTTTGACATACTGATCAGGAAAAAGAAAACTTGTATTGTCTGTTTAAGCAAGGTCCAATCCCCCACAAACCCATTACTGCCAAGATAACTCGAGCTCATGCCTCATTGTGAGCCTATAGGACAGCGTAGAACTGCCCCATAAGACTTCCAAGTCTGTGGGTCCTTCCCGAATCCCCTGCCACACAGTTCTAATGTGGAGTGGCTGGTGGGTTTGAACTGCTGACCTTTGGTTAGCAACTGAGCATTTAACTACTATCCCTTCAGGGATCTATTTAAATAAGACAGCAAATTTTATAACTCAAAGTAAATTTCAAACTAGAATGAACTTTTGGTTAGTCTGGGTATCCGGCTATAATTTTATTTTGACATAATTATTCATCAAGTAATAGTTTGAGCCAATTGAAAATCTAGCCAATTCTGTTGTTCATGACAATAAACCAGTGTGGATGAGCGAGCAGTAATCCCACTATTAAAGAAATTTCAGTGTGGAAACCATCAAAAGCCTTACTTCACTCTGCTGCCTGATCTGACTCTGGCTGCCCTGGTAGCACCTTGCCCTGTGTCCTAGACACCACCCTCTGATCCTCGCTAGGGCGCAGCTATCTCAGACCTCGGAGGACTCCGCCCTGTCTGCCATCTTGGAGCTGAAAGACACCTGCTGGGGCCAGAGCTCCTAAACCAGCAACTGTGTGTGGGAGGCTCTGGGCCAAAGCCAGTTTTGCTGGTTATAAACGAGATCTCCAGAACCAGAAGGAGGCTGCAACTCTTCTGAAAATTGAAGATATTTATGCCCAAGATGAAAATTGAAGATGTTTAAAGAGGCATGCTTCGCGGACAAAATAAAAAGCAACAGCGACTCCTGGTGGCAACCTAACGGAGCTAGGGTAGTCTGGGAAAGGTGGCACCTGCCAACTTCTGAAGCGACTTACTTGCCAAGTAAGGCCTTTGGATACAGAATCCACATGATGCTGTGTGTCTCCCCGAAAGACTAAAACTTAATGAAAAGTAAATAAAATCGTGGATTTGATTTTTTTTTTTTAATTGCGCTTGCTTTGAGAACGGAGGTGCACCTGACTCGAGACACGATCACTTTCACTTGGCTCATACACACGTAAAACGTGCACAGTGAAAAAGGAAGACCGAAGAAGGATGGACACATTTGTGTCGTGGGGTTGGTGAGGAACATACGTGACCTGCTAGACAAACAGACAAATCTGTCTTGGAGGAGATGCAGCCAGAACGCTCCCAGGAAGGGAAGATAGTGAGACGTATCGCATCTACTTTAGACGGTCACCCTGGGGAGCCAGCTCCCGGAGAAGGCCATCATGCTTGGGCAGTGCAGGAGAAAGCCTCAGTGAGAGGGAGTGACTCTGGGGCGGTGGCGATGGGCTCAAACAACGCCGTGCTCATGGGAATGGTGCACGACGGGCAGCATTTCCTTCTGTTCTGTGTAAGGTTGCTAGGAGTCGGGCGGAATCCACAGCAGGGTAATAACAAGGGCTCTGTCTGGGGACATGCCAGAATTACCCATTTTACTCCTGGGGGGCATTTGGGTAGCTTGAACTTTTGACCACTGAAATGTGCTACAATTGCAGTAGATTTTCATTTTCTAAGAATTGGCTTTTAATTCTAAGAGATTTATTTAAATTTTACCTAATTTTTTGGTTTTGGATTGGGAATGTTCAAAATTCATTTCATTTTGGCTTTTTAAAAATCTCTAGATGTACAGCAATCTCTCTGTCTTTCAGGTTGCAGTTTCCTCCTTGTCTGCAGTCATCAAGTTTTTAGAACTCCTATCAGACGACTCAAACTTCGGACAGTTTGAACTGACAACGTTCGACTTTAACCAGTACATGAAGTTGGACATTGCTGCGGTCAGAGCCCTCAACCTCTTCCAGGTGAGAAATAGCTGTGTGAAAAGTACCGAGTGATTGGAAGTGTATTCTCTGATATGTACTGAAGACACATATAAAGGAACTTACATATGCTGAAATGTCATCGTTAAAATGGATGGCTTTGAATTACTGACTTTTATGTAACAACAATTGTGAGGGTGGCGATGGACCGACAGCGTTTTGTTCTATTGTATGTAGGGTTTTTAGGAGTCAAGACCGAGTCCCAGGCACCTAACAATAAAAATAAAACGTGTTTTATTTTTGTAGTGTTAAGCTATACAAATAATATATACATTAATCATTTTATTGGTGGCTCCTACAGCACAAATGCTATTTTTAAACATCTTGTGAATGACAATGTATATTGTCGGGATGTATATTGTTTTTAAAATTACTTCCTTAGATGTTTGATGCCTGAAATGACGATGACTTATCTAAAGCTTTGGTTTTGTACAGGAGGAAAGGCAGATAAGTAAGTTGAAGATTTGCTTTTCGGAAGCGGAATTGTTATGTTAATTTCCCACTTTAGCTTTGAGAAGTGTTGCGTGTTCTTGTTCCCAAATTAAATTCTTTGTCATGGTAGACCTTCACCAACCATGCTCTTGACGTCTCGTGTCTGTCCTAGGGATCTGTGGAGGATACCTCCGGCTCCCAGTCTCTGGCCGCATTGCTGAATAAGTGCAAAACTCCTCAGGGGCAGAGATTGGTTAACCAGTGGATTAAGCAGCCGCTCTTGGATAAGAACCGGATAGAAGAGAGGTATTTTATTCTGTACTTTCGTAATCTTGGAGGAACTCATTGATTCCATGTGATTTTGTTATTGACAGGCAATCTTGTGCGTAGATTAACATTTCATCTGTGCAAGAGACTAGTCATGGCCTTGGCTCCTCAAAGAACCTACTTTTCTGAATAATTGCTTACTTAGATAAAGTACTATTTCTAGGGAAATGGTAAACCTAAGGGGGAAGTGGGAAGAGTTCTGTTGCATTGTGGGGATTGCAACCAGTGTTAGAAGACAAAGTATGTATGAATTGTGTGGAAAGCCAAGATGCTTGCAGACGTTCAGCCAAATCACAGTTCAACCAAGCACCACAGAGCAGCGATGTTGGGGAGGGAGTGTGGCAGCATCTTCACAGCATGGCCTTTGGTTCAGATTTTGCTTTGACCAGTGTGCTCCCTGTGTGATCTCAGGCACGTTTCTCAGTCCCCCTGTAGCTCAGTTCCTTCATCTTTAAAACGAAATGAATAATTGCAATGACTTCATTGTATGAGATCTAGATCCTTCATATGTATAAAGGGTATTGAATGGTGTCTGGGGCATAGGACGCGCTTTTTCTTCACGTAGACAGGGTTCAAGGAGCCTAAGCTGAAGAAATTTAAAACTGAGTATGGGGAAAGTTGGAAAATTGAATGAATATGAATAGCAGTTGGATGCATTTTATGTTTTCATCTGTTTTAGATAACGCTTTTAAAAAAATTTTAAGTGAAATATAAATAAGAGCACAAATCTTAAGTGTGCATTTGATGAGTTTTTACAGCATGACCGCATCTATGCAACAGCACAACTCAAGAAGCCGTTCACTACCATCCCAGAGGCTCCTCGAAAGTACCCCACCTTCCTGCACCCCAGTAGAGAGCGAGGCTGTGACTTTTAGCAAGAATTACTTTTGTCTGTTTAGAAGCCTTACTTAAATTTCATAATTATGCTCGTAGTTCACCCTAGCGTTTGACAAGGAGCCTGGGTGGAGTAGCGGTTACTCATTAGACCGTTCGCTGCACAGCCGGCACGTGGAAACCACCAGCCGCTCCTTGGGAGAAAGATGAGGTTTCCCGCTCTCCTAAAGACTTCCAAGTGAGAGAGATTGGTCTAAACGAGCAAAATTTCCCCCTTGCCTCTTACTTTGCTCAAACAAGTGAAAGTTAAACAGTTCCCAAGCTGTAGCAGAGTCACTCAGCATATTTTTATCTTCAGATTTGTGGATAAAAAGAAGTCATTAGAACATCTATGTATTTGGACCCTGGAAAACCCGGAAATGTTATCAGAATTAGCATTAGAAGGCAAGCTCCAAATAGAAGATTTTGTGTGGAGGCTACAGATTCCTGTCATGGGATCTGTGGTCTGCGATCACGGACTCATTAGAAAGGCCCTTGGTGAGGATGGTTTTAACTTCTCTGCAGCCGCAGGGGAAGAGAAGCCTTTTCTCTCTTTAATCTTCCCCAGTTTTCTTTCTTGAAGAGAAATGAAGAGAGGTATTTTATTCTGTACTTTCGTAATCTTGGAGTAACTCATTGAAGCAGGAAGGCTTTTTCAAGGACCGGCACTGAAACTCCAGACAGACAGACAGATCGACCCTTTGCCCTTGCCTTCCCTTCTCACATCCTCTTGCTGTGAGAGCTCATGCCTTCTCGTGTAAACCTTCCTGCAATTCTTGGCACAAAAGCAGTCTTCAACGGTTTTGTTTCCCCCCCCCAACAAATCACTGTCCCCCCCCCTGCCCCCCAACAAATCACATTGTTCTTAGCCTTCATTATCTAACACCGCCACCCCCCCTCATCCTGGTAGTGGAGTATCTGAGTGAGGTGTTCATTTTACAGTATGTGGCTGTGAAGTGAATTGCATTTAGGACAGCGAAGCTTTCTCTTTTTCTTCTTTTTATGAGAACATTGAAGATTGACAGCTGGGCCTAGATTCTTGAGTTTGGCGCATGCGTCTTGTCCAGTGTTGTGTCCCGGGTCAGGTTCAGGAGCTGCGATGGCACTGGAGTTACTTGTGCACTATTTATTGTGCACTAATGGCGTTCCTTACTGTGCACTCTTGTTTCCCGGTGGAGGCCCTCTCGTGAAGGGGAGTGGTGGTGCGGTGCCTGCTCCGTGCCTGGCATCTTGCTGAGTGCCTCACAGTCGTCCGCTCTGCGTGAGCCTCAGCCACACTGTGCTCCATTGCTTGTGTCTGACTTCGTTATATCCAAAATAGACTATCAGAAAGGAAAGCTTGCCTCACTCCACCGTCATTTTTCTGTGAGTTACATTACGTGCTTTACCATTCATCTTTCTTCTCACTCACCTGCACTTACACTGAGTTTCTGTTTTGAGTCAGGGCACGGATGCTGTTATTTCCCTCGAGACGGTTTTACTACCTTTTAGGAGCGAGTTTCTAGGAATTTCTTTCCTATTTTATACTTTAGCTAACAGTCTGTTTGGTACAAACGTACACTAGGAACCCTGCCCGTATACAGGTTTTTTCCCCACTTTCTGGTGGGTTCCAAGAGTCCTCGTGTTTGCATAGATTGTTTGGACTGTTGCTTTTGTCTTTCAGTTTTTTTCTTCTGGTCTTTCAGAGGTTTATTTGCTGTCTTGGTAATTCCTGCACATTTTTCAAAGTTAGAAATACCCTTTGGGGAAGGATATCGATTATGTATATGTCTATATGTTGGCATATAAAATCATTTACTCTTGTGAAGCTGGCGAAATACTTTGTGAATGTGAATTTCATATTCATATTGATGTCTAGTTTTTAATAGAGTATTTCTTTGTATATAAAGTTTAATTCCATTCATGTGGCAGGCTTGTTAGAAACAAGACTTTCATAGAGTGAGCGCTGGAAATTCAGACATGAGCGGTGCTTGTGTGATGGGATATCAAGCCTCTTGAGATCTTGTCTTCCCAGGTTGTGCTTTCATTCTGGAAGGTTGGCAGTTCAAACCCACCAGTAGCTTCAAGGGAGAAGGAGGAGGCCATTTGCTTCCGTACAGATTAACCGCCCCT